GCAAGTGATGTAATGCTAAATTTCTCCAAATCTGCTCCAATGAACTCATTTACATCTTGCATGGCCTAAAGGTGAGTCAATTTTCAGCAAGTTTTCATTTTTGGGTGAACTATTTCTTTTAAGGGTTATAGAAATTTAAAATGTAAAATTTTATTGAATATTTAAAGTGCTTTAACAAAAATATAAGCTGCACATTTCTGATTTTAAACCCTCCAAATCTCTTTCCTGTTAAACTATCAATGTAAGTGTATGTAATGTAAACATGTTTGCCTCTTGTTTGCACATGCTGAGGAACGTATTTAAAGTATCATCTGTGAAAACTAAGCGTGCAACACAGATGCAGCCCATAGACACGGTTTTGAAAATGATCTAGAATATTTCTTTAAGATAGAAATAAGACAAAAGATTTAATCTTTCTGTTTTTTGTGTTCAATCAGCATCCATGCGCAAATTTCAGGACCAGAATGAAACTTTCCAGTCCAACAGAGCCAAGATGGCAGAGGGCATGGCCTTAGCATTAGAGAAGAAGGACCAGGAGTGGATGGAAAAGCTAACTATTCTGGAACAGGTAAAGATGCTTTTTAACATATTGGATAAAGATTTGGATAAGGACTGTCGCTCTGACTAGTGTTTTGTAAGTCACTTTCAGTTTAAAAGCATCTGATCAATGATTATTTCAAACATCAGTGTTAATGACCTATTGTTTTGTCTGCTTTCTCTCAAACAGGAGAAGTTGTCACTGGCAGCCCGGCTAGATGAGATGACGGAGCAGAGTTTAGGTCTGTTCCAGAAGAGAGATGACTTGGATGAGCTGGAGGGCTTTCAGCAGCAGGAACTGGCCAAAGTCAAACACATGGTCAGCACAGTGAACCTTGAGTATTCTTTTATGAGTTGTGCACAGCAATAATAGCATTAAAACAGACTTCACACCTCACCATCCTCCATATTCCTGCACTCAACAATAATTTTTACTCTAATACATATCCAAATTAAAGGAATATTTAAGCAGCCTGATCATAAAATTTGTCCTGCAGCTGCTGAGGCGAGAGGAACAACTGAGTCAGCGGGAGAGAGAGCTCAAACTGAGAGGAGAGGAGCTGAACACAGCGAGACTGACCCTGAGCCAAACCCAAGACAAGCTGTATGAGCTGGGAGAGGAACACGAGGAGATGTGCAGGATCAACTCACAGCTACAGGCCCAAAGGTATGTGAAGAGGTACAGAATAATTTGACTTCCTTAAAGGAATAGTTCACACCCTGATTCATTCCTACTACAAAATATTTGGAATGGGATGAAAATGTGATTGTTGGACATTCTTCTTTCTTTCAATAATAATGTCTTGAAGACAAAAATCAAATCCCCAGTGTGTCTCTCTGTCTCTTTCAGGGATGAGTTGTTGAATGAGAGAACAGATGCTGAAAGGAGGGTTGTGGCTCTGGAGAGGAGAGAGCAGGAGTTACAGCGCCTGATCCAGCAGGTGTCGGAGGATTTCCAGAAGGTGAGCACTTGGCAACTTGCAGCTCATCAGTACAGAGGACTCTCAGAAGCCAAGAGGCTCACTTTTGGGAACAGAGCCACACCTTCCATTTGAAAGTGTTTTCAGCTCACCTTGCACTTTATCATTTCCTTCACTGTTATACATTTATAACAGTGTTATAGCATTGCTCATGA